TGCGAGCTCGCCGAAGAGATCAACGACCAAGTAACGGGGATCAAGGACTGGGCCGTCAATATACGGCCTGGGATGACATTAACCACTCGGATGATCTATGTGAGCTGGAATGAGCATCCAGGCGAAGTCTGCGCCAGCTGTCGGCGTACCGTTCCTATCCAGGACTCGTCAGGTTTCACCTGGTGAGTCTTAACTATCGCCCTCTAACGTGAATCTGACCTCGCTTGCGTCTGCTAAACTTGAAGCGCATTTTGCGGGACGTCCGTGCGTGACTAAGCGCTTGCAAGACCAGTTTCCCGTCAGAACGACAATTACATTCAAGCATGACTCCAAATTCTGGAGCACCGATGTGTGCGTCTCCGGAACCGCCACCAGATGAGCAGTTTATACGTCGCTTCCTCGTGCGCAAAACCGGCGCGCGTAGCGCCTATCTGCCTGGCCAACGCGTCTCCTCCTGGGATGCGCTTGGCAACGTTGTCTACGCCATCGTTCAACGCTTTGAGCTGGAGGTGGGTATTTTACTCTCGGTCCAATTTCCGAATACCATGTTGAATTGGCGTCTTGAACTCTAGCGCACGACGGTGTACAAAGTCCATCGTGAGTCCGACGGCAAAGAGATGCGTCTCCCGTAGGTGCCGCGCTCTCACAAGTTGATTGTCGACTGACGACACACTTGATTTAGGTTGACCCTCCTCGGGCCGTCGGGGGTTAGAGTCACGAATCCAATATCCAACAGGATTGAGAACTTGGTATACGAGTTTTTCTGTACATGTATCGCTACCAGCCATTTGGCCAAACAATGTGACGAGCGTCCAAGACGAAAATTCAACCACTTTCCTTTTTGGGACAGGTTGGTTGAAATTTTATGACGCAGGTAACAGGCCGTATTTCCTTCCTTCTTTTGATAGTTTCACCTGAATGAAAGTAATTTCAGACCGAAAGCCACACGCAATGGGTATTCGAATAAACAGCACGAAATTACAGTTTCGTCGCGGACAAATGTCACAAATTCAAATTCTGTCCCTCTGCTGCAATCTCCGCGAGATAGATCTTGGTATCCGCCATGAGAATTAGTCTCTTCGCTCCAGCAAAGACCATATTCGAAGAGCTAACGCCGAGGAATACTTTCCCCAGCAGCGTCCCTTTGGGATCGAATATCTATCAAAAGAAGGTTAAATATAGCATCTCATGCTCGTCGAAGGGTCCTTCCAACATACATGAGTCCCGTCACCTGAGCCAACGTACAGATTGCCGTTGGTATCCAGCGCTAGGCCATCGGGAACTCCCGTGTCCGCGAAAGCGAACACGCGACGGTTGCTAAAGGCCTGGGTGTCGGGCATGACATCAAAGGCATAGCTGGTATAGCATCGGTTTTTTCTTCTTGATTAATATCAAATACATTGCACTCACATCGTCGCAGGATTCGTTGGAACCGTCCCGCCCGTGACGCCCTGCGTCTCCCCTGTGTCTGCGCTGAATGGGATAAATGAGGGCCAGTTTCTTCTAAAGGCACAGGCATAAGCGTACATATAGGCCGTGTTGCCATCGGGCGAAAACGCGATTCCGTTCGGCTGAGAGAATCCGTCCGCAATGACGCGCACCTCGCCCGTATCTGCGTCAAAGCGGTAGACTTGGTTCGGAATTAGAGGTGCGGGGCGGAATCCGTTCTCGAACCCATAGCTGCAACAACTCGAGGTGTTAGCCCAAAATTCGGGTATAAAAATTGAGGCCATACGTGACGTCTGTGAAGAAGATGGCACGACTCTTCGGGTGGACTTTAGCATCGTTGAGTGAGTTGAATTGGCGGCCGTAGTAGTTGTTCAATATGATTGTGTCGTTGAATGGTGGTTGGGTGTTGACTCTGATCAGGCTCGGAGGGAGAGAACCCTGGCCAGTGGTTACAAGCAGTAAGTCGTTGCGGAACAATGTAGCGCCATTATTTATCTGGACATCGCTGCTGAGGGGAAGCTACAAAAAAATGTTAACTCATGGACAGAGGCAAACAATAATTTACGTGCGATGGTGAAATTAATCAACCCCGTCGGACTGGTCTTGAGATCATTCAGATTTATCATAGAGACCTGAGGTTCAACGTTTTAAGTTTCCGGCAGGATCATATGGTTAAAGATCAATTACCGGACGCTTTTGTATTCTCCCTCCAGTAAAGAAAACTTGGTCTGTAGCTTCGATCCACACACATCCATCATGAGCGAACGCGAAGGTGTCGTTTTCGACGATAACACGGATGGACGGGTTGGGGCCCAGGATCGCATTAAACCTATCGTCGTAAACTTGGAAATATGGAGGGGTCAGGTTCGCGTTTGGGTTCGGCTCGAAGGTCTGAGATCCGTTGCGAAAAGGACCGTTGGGATTCAAGACGGCGAACGCTCGCTTATCTTCGACCTAAAATCAAAAGCGTCATATTGAGCATCTCTGAAGGTAGATCACACGCACAATAACAGGAGCTTGGCCGAGGACAAGCACTGTTTTGATTGCAAGTAGAAATAAAGGGAAAGTGTTCATTCTTGGGTAGTGCTTGGGCCTTCCGCCGAGAAAGGCCAAGCTTTATGTGGAAGCCTTGGTTGAGAAGACGGTCGATGAAAGGAAAGGCTCCACCGTCAGAGTAACCATCGTCAAATCCACCACTTGGCATTCTCACGCATGCCCATGTAAATGCCACGGTCTGGCTGGTCGACTCCAGGTAATAAAAAAACACGACGGTATAAAGACATTTTGCCGGTTTGGTTTCTTCAATGGTGTGTCGGTAGGCTTGAACCATCCGTCCCAAAAGAAAGTCCTCTGTAGCCTACACAGACCGCAGCTACAGCCCACCCAACACAAATACATGCCTTGGACCAATGTGAAAGCATGCCGTTTTCAATGGCCTACCATATGCCGCGGATTGAACTCGAAGACGAATCAATGTTCCCGGTTCGAACCGTGAGACGAGGGCCAATTGAAGGAGGTGCCTGCGGATGGCATATTAACACCTGCGGCCAGCGGTGAAGGAGACTAGCATTCTGGCCGCAAGTGTGTCGCCGTGGTGCTAGAAAGGAAGTTCTGGATGGGTGGCGGAATTCCTTTACGCATGCTTAGTGGAACGCCGTGTGCACTGAAGGAGGAATTAACAACCTCAGGCCGATCCCGGAGACTCGGTAGGATTTCTGAAAGTTTCGGAAAGTTTCCACTGCGTCGAAGGTAAACGGTAACCGTACATGCGTTACTGGACGTTGAGTCGACAGGAGTGTAAAGTCGAAAACGCCATTCGAGCTTGAACCCGGCAACTCGTGGCTGCTCAAGCCACGCTGCCACGGAGATGATCGGAATCGACGTTTGATCCGAGCTTCACCAATTCTTAGCTTCAACAACCAACGAAGTAAACGAAAAATCCCTGCGCCTCCGTGCGAGGCGCATTCTACGAAATTTCAGCAAATGTCTTACTCTTTCAATCATGAACCACACGCAAGTTACGCCGCAACTATGGGTACTGCTTGCTCCCATCGCTTGCCCTCAACTGCGCCTTCATTCATTGGTTTTCCTTGACGAACCAGCTCAGGCTTTCCAAATTCCGCTAGGATCCACAGAGTGTTGAGTTTTCACTGTTCGTATCTTCCACCACTCCCCAGACATGAACGGAGCCTTCAAGTTTAAATTTATGCAGAATGGGTATTGGAGAATACTACACCAAGTCCCTACCCTCCCTTCCTTATTCTCTCGACGAAAAAATTCACGCACAGCAAGTCAACACCCACCATCAGCGGGTCCAAACCGTGGAGATGAACACTTGAGAACGGTCTGCATATTTCCGAGAAACACGGCGAACCGTCGCCGTGGCCTGAACGCGGGACCGGGGGCCTTCATTCGTGTTCAAGCCACGGCGATAAACATCTTTCTGCCCCTGCCCAAGCGACCCCTGCCCAAGCGACTCCTCTGCACAACCACTCCCAGCACAATGTTTCTGGCAGCAGCGCCCCAGCATCGGCACCCCCTCTCAGCAGGTCCCACTTTACGAATTTTCGACTACAACGCCGCACCAAATTCACAGTCAAAGGCCCTGTCCCCGTCAGAAAGCCAGCACCAGCTCGTTCTCGCCTCTATCGACCCGACCGCAGAGCTCGCGAATAGGGTACGCAAGTGGGATACAGCCGTCGGCCTTTGCCAGCTTCCTTTTATTGTCACCACATCTTCGGCGCCAGCGAACGCAGCGGCATCCGCGTTCACCACCGCGCCCGTCGCTCCGAGTATCAATGAATGCCGCGCCGTCCAGCCCCGCGACCTCAATCCCAACGACGCAATCCCGAGCGCACATCCAGTCCCTCCCCGCTAGTATAAAACTCGTAACCAGCTGACCTTGCACTCGCTGCAGAACCATTACCAGCACGCAAGCAAAAGCCCGCGGACGCCGCACTCCATTTTCTTTCACTCCGCCCACGCGACGCTCCTCCCTCGCCGCCGTCTGCCACTAGCTGCTCATGTTCCGCATCGTGACCACCATCCACCTCCCGCTCGCGTCCCTTGCGGGACTAAACATCCACACCGTTATTTCTTTCTCTTCTGATACTGACAGGCCTTGGGCACGCAGCGCCGTCATGCGCACACACACCCAATCGCGTCGATGTGCATGCGGTACGCCCTTTCTCTTTCCGTCTTTTCTAATCCTCATGCAGCGACCACGCCCACAAGAACGACAGCAGCCACCGCGAGCGTAGCCTTGTAATCAACGCTTTTGCATTCAGTCTCACTAGCAGCGATATCCAATGTAAATATTTACGTAGCACCATGGTGTAGACGGGGATCAGTTGGCGCTAACCAGTGGTTCCTGGATCCAAATTTACAGTGGCGACATTTCTCTCAAACATCGCGAGCCTTTGTCTTACAGAGTGAAGCCGCGCAAGACCTGCCCGTCGGAGTTTGACGCGGAGGTTCAATGAACAAATAAATACATTCTTGCGCGATACAATTATTGCGACGGCGCCGAACCAAAAGAACGTAAAAGGAAATGGCATCACGGTGGCTCGAACCTTCAGATATCACTGAAGGACTTCAGTCTGCTGCTCTCCCAACTGAGCTATGACGCCGACATCATGAATCATTTAGATGTATTCTCGGCCTAAACAGTCTTGGTTTGTGAGGTGGGTTTTCCTCTATTCTAGACTCGAACCAGTCCCAAAGGCGCTTAAAGATCTCAAAGACAGTCGTTTGATCACTACGTCGGTCTTATTGATCGAGTCTCAATATTCCGAATAACGACTACTTAGTTCGAGTAGATGTCGGCCACATCTTTTGATTTTTTTCCGTTGACGGTTGGTTGAAAATGAACCGTGAGAAGATTCGTTGACCAACAATTGGCCAATGTGTCGGTTCGACTGCCCCCTACCGACCCAACTAACAGGAATTTGAGACCTTTGGGCACTCCACGGGAAATTCTTCTTCGTCTCTGTAGGAGCTTCTTATGGTTCAATGCTGCTCAGGCGTTTTATCGCAAGGATGAGTCGTTCTCCCTCAACCATTATGCATCATGTTTCCGTCTACACAACGATAGGGACCTTCCCAAACTCCTTTCTCAGATGCCGCTAACCACGGACACTCTCTCCGCTACTTACAATAACGCATACCATCACGAATTATAACTTGAAACACCGCATCTTGAGTAAATAAATAAACTGGCTTGATTTCGTTCAATGTCGCCGCGTTCGGGCATCACACCCACAAAGCAACTTCTCCGGCCGTTGCAAGTTTTTTTTGGGGGCGGTTCCTGATACGAATCGATAATTGCTATATCTGGATGTCGGCGGAACGGGGTTGACCCTTGTTTGGATAGTACCAAATCCTTGGATAGCACCCAAATCCGGCCGGACGTCGATCGCCACCGAATTCCAGGAAGAGCGAAACGGCCAAAATGCCGTCCAGCGAGGAGGTCAAGCAGCTCGAAGGCGTCTCGGTCGCACAGCACCGATTTCGTCTCTCTGTCGACACCCCCGAGAACGGGTCCAGTGGTACCATGGGTGGACACCGCACCCCGCTACCGCCCCCCGAGGCAGGAGCGAACGGCCCATTTCTCGTACGTGCAGAGTTTGCTGAATGTTTTGTCTGACATGTGTACTAGTATGCCCAGCTGCCATATCGAAATTCCCGATACAAGGAGAAGTAAGTCGGCCATGTTGTGGATGGGCGCCTGCACGTTGCCAGCGGCTACGGATGACTGATTGTAAAACGTAGATTCCAAGCGCTACGAGAAAAGTACGACCGGGTTATTCTGGTGGGTGTTACGCGTGTATTATTGACTCTAGCCGCGTCTGACCTGCTGCACTGCGCGCCGCCCAGAAACAAGAAGAGTACCACCAAGACCTCGAACTTGCCACGGCAAAGATAAAGAAGCTGCAGGCAGAAAACGAGTACGCGTCGTCTGTCTATATCCCACGTCAAACCTTGAATAATCCTCAACAACGAACGCAGCCTCTTGCTCGACGCGATGAACCTCGCCGCCTCGCACCAGCCGTCAATGTTCGGGCTCCTCCCGCCGCCCCTACCACCCGACGCACCTCCAGGCGGCGGCCCCATGGACATCGACGCGTTCGCGGGCCCCAGCACCAGCGCCGCGCCCCTCGTCGCCGACCGCCCGTCCGCGCGCCACCACCGCGTCAACGGGCACAACGGCAACGGGCACAACGGCAACGGCGGAGGTAACGTGAGCAGCAGCAATGGTACGCGTAGCGGGAGCAGCAGCAGCAGCTTCGGTCCCCAGACAAACGGCGCGCACGGGCCACCGCTGGAGGTAACTTAGTTACCCCTTTTTTCGTGAATATAACGCTTATCCAAGTGGCAGCAACGTCCCTCTCGACAGCCCTCCATCGAATTCATCGCGCACGATATGAACGGACGCGCGCCGTGACCACTTATCGTCTCCCGGCCTTTTCCCTTCTGCATTTCTTCTGTTCTCACCCCGCACTCCAACTTGATTAATCGCATCTGTCTCAGTGTCTGTCTACCTGTCCGTACCTATATCTAGTTCTCTGTATCCCGCATCCCTCGAATGTACATTACACTAAAAAACAGTACACTACGTTCTTCTCGCTCTTGTCTATACCGGCTTTTGGTCTCACTCAAATTGTAGACGGTCTCTCACTCGAACCTTCCCCATATTTATGGCCTGCCTTGTCTTCTAAACCCGCATTCCTTCAAGCACGAAAGTTCGGCCCAACCAAATCGTCTAAAACAGCTTATTTCCCAATTGCAAAATCCTACATCCAAAGTACATACACATACACTGAAAATTGTTTCTTGTTATTGTTGCTGCTAGTGACACTAGCTTCCCGCCGGGGTAGTCGTGTGTCCTGGTGTGTGCTGGGGTGGTGGTGGTGGTACATACGAATACGGACGGATATCTATGTCCGCCCGACCGCCCTCTCGTTCGTCCTGTGACCCCAAACTTCAAAAGCCCATTTCGGCCGCCGGCCGTCCCAAATTCAAACGCCCAGACCAAAACAAATGATCTGTCAAGTTGCAATTGCGGGAGGGAACACCGCACAGGGGTGTCCCGCGCGGCGTTATACGTAGGTGGCCGTGGGTCCCGGGTCGCGCGCGGGGTAGCTGCGGTGTCCTGGATGCGTCGTGCGTGCGACGAACCACCCAAAAAGGTGTCTCGGCGCTCCGCGGATAGATACCGATAATCCAGCGAGCAGACGGGAGATGTGTATCCAGCGAGAGGCGAGTGGCGGCGGCGTCGATGTTGGGAATCCGAGATGGGATATGGATGGGAAAGTGCGTGCGGGATGAGATGCTGTTGTATGGTTTGTGGTTTATGGTTGGTATACAGGATGGAATGGATGACCGTGACAGAGCAAGCAAGCAGGCAGGCAAGGCGAGGCGTGTAAGCGAGTGAGTAAAGGAATAAACAATAAACACGGACGGACACGAGAGCAGTGGAATGACAGCGTATCGAGAAGATAAGATGATGAAATGAGATGAGAAGCCAACGAAAGATTCGGAGGGAGATAGACAAAGGGAAGGCGGAAGGAGAGAGAGGAAGGAAAGAGTGCTAGTTGTTTTTGTGTTTACAAACGAGTGAGCGAGTGAGCGAGGAGAGAAACCATCTAAGTGAAAGGAAGTGTTCAGTGAGCAAGTACAAGAGCACACACACAATGGTGGTGGCGGCGGCGGGTCGTTTGTTTGTCCAAGAGATGAGATGAGATCGATGCTGTAGCCAGAGACGAAGCGAGCGAGGGTGACCGAGTGAGAGAATCGGGGCTGGGCTACACACCCATTTTTCTTCTTCGCGCTGCGTCGCGTTGCGCCTAACGCATCAACGCCAACGCCAACGCCTCGCCAATCAACGACTCGGCGCATTACTCGGCACCGACGCCAACCCCCCACCCGCAGGCCCGCTCATCCCGCGCACCATACTCCCTATATTCTGCATCCCGCGCTGCCCCGGCCCCGGCCCCCCTTGCATATGCCCGCCCCCAAGGTGCGCCATCCCACTCCCGCTCCTCGGTCTCCCTCCTCCGTTATTCAGATTCGAATTCGGATTACTCGACCCCGAGCCAGGGCCCCACGGCCCCAGCCCCCCTCCCGGCTGTATCGCATACCCCAACGGCGCGCTATCGCTCCGCGCCCGACTCGCGCGCGGCTTCGGCGGGCTGAGCGAGTCGACCGAGGACGCGTGGTGCGGGTGCGGGCTGCCCCCATTCGGACCGCCAATGCCGTTCGGCGTGTGCGCGGAATGCGGCGAGTGCGAGTGCGAGTTGTTGTTGTCGTCCGAGGACATCATGCGCTGCCGTTTGCGCCCGCCGCCGGAGCCGTCCCCGCCAGGCCCGTCGTCGGAGCCGAACATCTCCATCGTGATGGACCCCGGGGAGGCGGGGAGGGGCGACGCGGAGGAGGGCTCGCCGCGCGAGAAGGAGATGTGCTGGAAGCTCTGTTGTCGTGAGAGCGAATGGGAGTGCGAGTGCGCGTGGTGTCCGTGGTGCGCGTGCGGGTGGTAGTCCGAGGGCGGGTTCGACGGGGGGTCGTACCCGCGCGGCGAGGTTATGAAGATATTGGGTTCGAGGAGGTCGACGGGGAAGGGCGGGACTGTGGGTAAAAGTAGATTAATGAACGCATTACAAGAGGAAATTTGGAACGGAAAAGGATAAAGAGTAGTCGAATTTACGAGCGGCGAAGCCCGCCAGCACACGACGGGCACCACGCGCAGAGAATCCAACCGCGCCTGAAAAGACCCCTATTTGCAGTACTTGAACTGTCAAGATGCCTCTCGCCGACATCGAGCAGCGAAACGATTTTAGATAGGCGGGCATCGATGAGATGGGGGCCAGCGCCAAAGCAATTCGAGTTGCACAGGCCGCCCACAAAAAAGAAGCCAGCCCCTGTCTTGGGGACCGCGCCCTCCAACCGCCCATTCGCCCAGCCGAATAAACCAGTCGCAGGACTTCCTCCCTCGTTCGCAGGGGAAAACCAAAAAAAAACAGGACGCCACGCGACGTCCCCTCCGTTCCCCTCGGCGAGTACAGCCAACCTCCACACAACGAAAAACAAACCCAAGATGACGAGAGAAACAAGACGGCAAGCGCCACCCGAATCTCCGGATGTTTCCGACGTTCGCGGACGCGCAGCATCGCATCGATCGATGAGAGAACGGGAAGAAGGAAGAGGGCGCCACAGCCCAGCCTCTTGCGAACGGTGGCGGACCTGTGTAAGACGTGTACGATTCAAGAACGCCACCAAAACGCCCGTGATCGATGAAGGCGCGCTCGGATGCGCCGGGAAAAAAGGAGGAGGAGGTGGCGAACAAAATAAAACCCTTCAAATAAAAGCCCGGCCCATCCAAAAAACGAGGAATAGAAAGCAAGCACTCACTATTCCCCGGAAAGCCCTTCCCAACGACATCCCACAAGCGGCTCACGACAGAGACGAGCTTGTCGACGCGACGGCGCTCGGCGGCGAGCTGCTCGTACATGCGCTGGTTCTCCTCGCGCATCGTGCTGAGTTGGGCTGCGACCTGCGTTGAATTTTTGACATCAACTCGTGCTTTTAAACACATAAAGGCAGTCCCACCTCGCCGGGCAGCTCGACGCGATGC